CCAGTGCGTGAAAGTGGAGATGCTCCTGCATTGTGCCCTTGCTTTGTACTCTGAATGCAGCAGCAAGATGCTGTTAAAGTTTGTGCAAATGGCAACTGCTGTGAAAGTGAGAGCAGAGCCACATTTCTGAGGTTAAGATGCAGCTGTGTTTCGAGCTGAATGGTATCATTACCATCCTGACATGCTGATGTTTGGCAGCCAGTACTTAATATTTATACATAAACTTTATGGTAATGCCAAAACCTTTGTAAAGTACAATACAAATGAAACTTTTGATCTTATGATTTCACAAAATGAAATAAGGAAGTAACCCAAGTTATTACAATTCATCTTGTGGGTACTCCAAATGTGTGAATCAAATGTCAAGACAATCGATTGAACAGTGTTTGAGCCAATTCACACGAATCCACAAATGTCAACCTCATGGTGGAACCAGAGGAAAGGTCAGGGGATCACCAATGCCAGCAGGAAACTTACATTTCCATCTGTTAATATAATATATTTTAGTGTGGATCAACTAGCTGGACTGACAGGGACAACTAAGGACTTGCTAAAAAACAAGATCTTTCATAATAAAAGCTGAAGAAGAAACTGTTTACTTGGTTTAAAAAAAGCCTCAGCTATGTGCACACGCAGCAATATCCACACTCCATAGTCTTTCAATAGCTTGTCCAAATGCGTTTTCAGGGATTTTTCAGGGCTTCAGCCTACTCTGTGAAAAGCTCTAAAACAAGCCAGCCCTGAAAAGTGAAGGTGGATGGTGGGAGGAGATGTGACCTTCAAATGAAGCACTACCCAGCCTTCAGGCTCAGCTGTATTTGCTTTTTTCTGCATAAGTTTCTTCAAGTATTTATTATATACTATTATACCAAATATGAGTATAATTTCAAATATTATTTTTATTATTAAGTATTATTATTATTTATAATTATTGAGTTTGAGGCTTTTTACAGTACCTCTCATGATTTACAGAGTAAAAGTGTGAGGAACCAGATGCAGAAAACAAGTGAGCTATTTATTAAGGCTGATTAAATGTCTTAACAAAAAACTAAACAAGGAGTAAGGAATACGGGGAACACACAACAGGAACAAGCAGGAAATGTACAAGTTGACTAGACAGAATAACAACAAAGAACAAAAGTAAACTTAGGGTTTAAATATAAAGGAAGGAGAAACGTGTGGGGAACCAAACACAGCTGACACTAATCAAGGATCACAAGACAAGGGAAGTAAAAAGAAACAAGACACAGAAGATAACAGCTGCCAAAATAAAACAGGAAGCAATAAGGTAAAGGTTAGAGTCTAATAATTCTAATTAAAACTCAAACCACAAACAGAAACTAGATTGCAAAAGGTAGCAAAAAAAGACCAAAGACCAAACTGAGAAAATAATCATAAAGAAATCAACCAGGAGTATCTGCTACATAAACACAGTGAATCCAAATATAATACAAAAATTTAAAACTCCAGCAAAAAAACCAAAACAAAACATGTCGTCCCTGACAGCAGCATTTTGGAATGAATAAAAATACAGAATAAATACAGAAAAAGGTCAGTGAGAACTCTTTTTCTATAATTTTTTTAGCACAACACTGTATGAATCGACCCCTCCAGCTACTGTATGTTTATTGGACAGCACTGTTGGAGTTTCCTCCGCAGCTGAAAAGTAAACTACAACACACTGTGGAAACACAGATAAAATGTAAAATACATGCAGAGTAATACTTATAGAGCCTTCTCAGTCAAATCTCAGTGGGACTATCTTATCTAAAGGATAAAATCCTGCCTCAAGTTTATATTATTTCTAAAGGCATTAAACATTAAACACTTAGCCAGTCAGTATTACTTCATTCAACTCACTCGCTGTTCTGATGTTGCAGTGTGATGTAAAGATGCACAAACTCCATTTTGTCACTGAACTGGCAAAAAGACAAAAAGTCTAATTTGGGATTGTGTTTCTGGTCATCTGATGAATATACAGTCGATATTTTGTGCCCCTATAAAGAGACATTTCACCCCATAATCAAATTACCATATTTTTCATCTGGTCTGTAGTGCTCTTTATCGATCTACTGTAGACTGCTCCTGGTGTGACTTGCCAAGTTTTGTAGATAGTGGCTGTAGAAATGTCTTCTCTTTACTATAATGGAACCTGATGGCATTTGCCTTCTGCTGGTCAAAGTGCCCCACAAATACATTAGGAAAACTCAGCAGCTATGCCTCGTTCCAGAAATCATGACTGAGTAATTCAACTACGAAAACCTTGGTGTGTTTCATAGTTTTTTCACTCTATTCTCCCAACAAAAAGAAGTATACACATAGCTAATACTGCCGGTTAAGTGAGGAGGGGATTATATCAAGAGGCTAAAAAGTTATTGGACAAACTAACACAATTTTAAATTTCGGGATTTATTTTAATACTTGGATGAAACTCATTTGTAGTCGATGACTGCCTAAAGTCCATGGACCCTTGAGATGCTCCATCGCCTTGCTGCAAACAATCTGCGGACTTTGACAATGACACTTGCACCTCTTTAACATGAAATAAACCCACCTAAACCTACCAGTTTATCAGTCAACTGCTAAATTCTCTTTATAATAGGGGACTGTGTGTGAAAATGTCTGTAATTCCTGCACAGTTGATTACACTTTTTTGTAAAACTCCTTGAATTAAAGCTGAAAGTCTGCAATTCACTCGCATCTTGTTATGATTTAATTTAAAATTCTCTGTCTTGCTCAGAAACAACTTACTGTCATCATCCTGTCATACATGTCATAAGAAACTGCTCACAAGTTTAGATTATGTAGAGCAATCTGGTCAGGATTTATGGAAAGACACTGCTGCTCATTTTGTGTCTGCATGCATCATCTTTGCTCTTTTTCTTTGACTTTTTGAGCTGATAGGCATTTAATGCCATTATATTTGTGACAATGCAGACATTTATAGAGTGAATATCTCCAAAACGGAGCAACTCACATTATAGCAAATAGCATTACGGGTCAGAGAAACAAAATCTAAATTGAATTTTTGGGAGAAATACCCCTTTAACACCCTCTTTGGTCTCCATAAGCTCCCAAGAAAAATAAGTGGGGCTTTAACTGCTATAAGTTCTACATTATTCACCACATCTACTTCAGCTTTCTGAACTTATTACAGACCTGACTCTGCCGAATTGGCAGCAGCTGTCTACAGTTTTATCTGGATGAGTGCATCCATATGGTACACAACATGTTTGGTCTAAGAAGTTAAAGTAATATCCTAAAAGAGGCTACAGGCTGTAAAGTAGAGCCAAGCCAACACTGGTATCTTCGGGCAAGTGCAGATGCCAGCTCTGATATAGATTTCTTTGTCAGTAATAAATTCAGACTGATATATCAGCCAGTATTCTTTGTGTACAAACACTGTATTTCACTAACAAGTAAGCAACTTAATATGAGGATTCCTTGTATTTGGCATGCCTTAAGTAAAGCAAATATTATTATTTTGCATTTTTTATTCTGGTTTGGTGGAAAATGTTGCTGTGGAGCTGGCAACTTAAGTATTTTAGTGTAAGAGCAAGTGTGAACTGAGTTAAATTTGAAGTGCAGAATTCAGTGTCTGAAAGTTTTCTTTTCCTAACTGGCAGTTTAATGATATATGCACAGCACTTCACTTCACATTTCATAGCAGCCAAAATAGCTCAGCTGGAGTGCAGAAATTATTTCCAGAAAAATCTGCAGCATCCAATTGTAAAGTTGAGCTATCTTCCGTTAAAGTCAGTACTTTAACTTTTGGTGCATAATTATAGACCTATACACACAACCGTTCAGTGAAGCACACATTGATCTCTTTTATCACATCCAGCCAGATGCTGACAAACAGCTGTAATCTTCTAATACTGTGTTGGCTGACACAGTCCATCCTCACAAACCACTATTCTCAACTGCTCTATTTTCAGTTTTCTTATAATGCTATTACTCCAAGAGGACAAAGATAAGCTTCGCATTGTGAGCGTGACAGCGGGACACAGAGAAAGACAGAGAGGAAAAACAAAAGAAGAAGAAGAGGAGGAGATGCAATAGAGATGAAGGTGGCATCGTGTCTGTGGAGGAGCATCCTGCTGTGAGTATACAACCCTGTGTGTTTATAATTATACTCTCTGAATGCGAATGCATCTGTTTATGGGACTGCAATATATTCTTTTGGAGTTAATCTGCCATCTCATATGTTCATTTCAGCTGTTAAGAAACATGAAACTGACATTTTGGGTTTGTTTGTGTGACTGATGGAGCTAATCTGTGCTACGAGAGAAGATGTCAGGGAGAGATAGAAGTCCTGTGTTTAGTTAGCTTCATTATTTCTATGGTATATCATTATGCATTGCGTTTAGCTGTTATGATTCTTTACCAACCACAGACAGATGAGGGTTCATTGCTGTAGCTGTCATTTGTTAATAGTCTGATCATCACTTCACCGGGTAATCAAACAAAGTTCAGTGCAAACAACCTCCCGAGCAGACGATAAATTCAGCTAATAGTCCCGTCTTAAGTCATCTTTCTGTCGAGCTGTCAAACGAATATTCTTCTCCCAGATTTGATTTCAGCCAACATCCACAGAAATGTCATTAGTGAACTTCAGCTAGTCATTAAAAGCTGACTGAAGTGCTTCAAAAGGTTAATTTATTTGCTAATCAGACTCCCTCTCCTGAATAATTATAATAAATCACCTCTTCCATGAAGAGCTTCAACGTCACTTGCATTCGCGATACTTGACTGTGCCACTACCGTCTCCAGGAGTGGCATAAATAATACATATTCAACACATAAAAGACGTGAATGTGCGGTGCAGTTTGAGTGTAAACCTGACAGTAGACTCTGTCCTCTACTCATGAATAAAAATAATTTAATGTAGTTTGGGTTTTATAAATTGCCTTCCTTTGCAGAAAAGTTCCATTATCGAGGATAACCACACATTTTAACAGCGAGAAAATCGCAGGCAGAGCTCAGCCGTCCACACATACCTGTTGTAAATGTCGTCGTCTTCTCCTCCCCAGCCCCAGTACTCGTTCGGGAAGCCGTTGATCTTCAGAAACTGTTTTTTACTGAGACCCGAAACACCTCCAAAGTAACCTGCGTAGGGCAGCCTGCACGACGAGAGGAAGGGAGGAGATGGCACAGATGAGACAAGAATATACTTTTACATTTTAGAGGCTGCACATGCATATTTGAAATGCATATATTACGTCGATTAAATTACATAAACAAACAAGAGCTGTCAGAAAGACTGGCGGTGGCTAAATGTTACGTTCAGCTTCAAAGGGCTGCATTTTGACAAAGTTCACTGCGCCGCTTTATGGCACGAAGATCGTTTGTGAGAAAAAACAAAAAAGTGTAATACGAGCTCAAGATCTCAGTGACTTAAACAGCTGTGTGTACGTGCATGTTCTCAGTGCTGTTAATTTCAGTGGGCTGACAGCGAGTCCTGGGCGGCATGAATACATGATAATGTGATGCATTAGGAGGAGTTTTCAAACGCTGCTTAAGAGACACGCAATTTACATTTGAATAAAATCTTTTCAGTTTGTTTCAGGCTATGAGATCTTTTCTTACCGTGTCTTGTCTTAGATGGTCTCTAAGTGGATAATTTAATGGGAGTCTTTTTACAGTAAGTGGATAATCCGCATCCGTATATAATCCACTCAGGCAACATGAAATGACCGAATGTAAAGACGGGTGAGAATATACTTGCAAATAAAGACCTCTACAGCTTCTTTAATGGCGATTCTAGCTATAATGCTAGTTATAGCTTTAGAGGCACCGGTCACTTTATTAGGTACACCTGTGCAGGTGTACATGGGAGCAACTCAATGCATGGATGGTCAAGACAGACAGAACCTGCTGAAGTTCTGAGAATGGGGGGAAGAAAGGTCATTTAAGTGACTTAGAACGTGGCGTGCTGGTTGGTGGAAAACAGGCCGCTCCGGGTATTTCAGAAACTGCTGGTCTACTGGGAGTTTCCCACACAACAATCTCTAGTGTTAGCAGACAATGGTTTGAAAAAGAGAAAACGTCCAGTGAGCAGCAGGTCTCTGGGTGAAAATGCCTTATTGATTTCAGAAGAGCATGGCCCGATTGTTTTGAACAGATTAACTCAAGGTACAAAGAAGACTTCAGTCTGAATGCACAGCATGTAGAAACTTGAAGCAGATGTGCTACAGCAGCAAAAGACTGGGTCTCACCAAAATTGGACAACAGAGGATTGTACAAATGTTGCGTGGTCTGTTGAGGCTCAGTTTCTGCTGCTACATTCAGATGGTGGAGTCAGAGGCAGGTCTAAAACACATAAACCTATAGATCCATCTGAATTGTATCAATGGTTCAATGGTGGTGTAATGGTGTGTGGATATTTTCTTGGCACACTTTGGATTTCTAAAGGTTAATGTATTATATATATCAACTGAGCATCGCCACGGCCCACCTGAGTGTTGTTGCTGACAATTTTCATCCCTTTATGACCACAGTGTACCCATCTTCTTCAAATAATTTTTTGAATTTTAATGGTCGCAAAACGGAAGCAATTTTATATGGCCCGCATCGTTCTACTGATTCTCCAGATGTTGATTTTGGTGATTTGACCTCTCATCTGAAAAGTTCAGTCACTAATCTTGGTGTTAAACTTGATTCTGCGCTTACTTTTGAAGGTCATGTAAGTGGGGTGGTAAAATCAGCTTTTTATCACCTCAGACGCCTGTCGAAGGTTAAGCCTTTCCTTTCCAAACCCAATTTGGAAACTCTTATTCATGCTTTTATCACCTCACGTCTGGACTATTGTAATTCCCTTTTAATAGGGGTCGGGTCGGGCACCTTGTCACGCCTGCAGTTAGTGCAAAACGCGGCGGCGCGATTTTTAACCGGTAGTAGGAAATTCGATCACATCACTCCGGTTCTGGCTTCCTTGCATTGGCTTCCCATTGATTTTAGGGTTCGTTTTAAGGTCCTTTTATTGGTTTTTAAATCTTTAAATGGTCTGGCTCCTGTGTACTTAACTGACTTGCTGAAGCCACATGTTCCTCCTCGCTCGCTCCGTTCAGCTGAGCAGCTGCTGCTGTCGGTCCCTAAGTCGCGGCTGAAATGCAGAGGAGACCGTGCCTTTTCCATTGCGGCTCCGATGCTCTGGAATAACCTCCCCCTCCAAATTAGACAAGCGTCATCAGTGCAGGTCTTTAAGTCCAGATTGAAAACCTATTTTTATTCCCTGGCTTTTAACTCTGTAGGAAACTGACACCTTATTTATTTTATTGTTTGTAATGATTTTATGGTATTTTTAATTTGGTTGTTGTTTTGATCTGTGTTGTTCAGCACTTTGGTCTGCCTGGTGTGTTCTTAAAGTGCTATACAAATAAACGATGATGATGATGATGATGATGATCTTCTGATGTCTGCTTCTGGCAACATAGCATGCCATGGCTGTAAAGTTCAAATCATCTCAATTACCCCTTGCTGAATTCATGCCTCGAAGAATTTAAGCATATATATATATATATATATATATATATATATATATATATAGCCAACTAACTCCGTTATAGCCAACTAACGGAGTTGCAGAAAGGTGCGACAAATAAGGTGCCTAAGAAATACAGCAAGCTGTCCATACCTGAGGCCTTGGAAACTGCCAAGCAAAGACTCACAGCCTTGGCCAGCCGCTTGAGGAGGTACACCAGAGAGATAGAAGGCAGGAGAATAAACCAGCTGTTCTCCACAGAACCAGCAAAGGTGTACTCTCAGTGGCAAGGGAACAATAAGAGAACAGCACCACCAAGGCTGGAGACAGAACAATACTGGAAGAGCATATGGGAGAAGGATGCAACCCATAACGGCAATGCTCAGTGGCTAGAGGATCTGAGGGCAGACCACAGCGACCTCCCTGAACAGGGTCCAGTAACCATCACAGTGGCAGATATCCAAGAAAGGGTCTCCAGTATGAAGAGTTGGACAGCACCAGGGCCCGACATGGTTCACACCTACTGGCTGAAGAAGCTGACTGCACTCCACGAGCGTCTGGCAGCACAAATGAACCAGCTGCTAGTTAACGAAAGACACCCGGAATGGCTAACTGAAGGCCGGACGGTCCTGATCCCCAAGGACCCCAAGAAGGGACCGGTCCCCTCCAACTACCGACCAATAACCTGCCTCAGTACTACATGGAAGCTCCTGTCAGGTATCATATCGGCTAAGATGAACAGGCACATGGGTCAATACATGAGCGGGACACAGAAAGGAATTGGCAAGAATACCAGAGGTGCAAAACACCAGCTACTGGTAGACAGAACAATCAGCCGAGACTGCAAGACCAGACTGACCAACCTGTGCACTGCCTGGATTGATTACAAGAAGGCCTATGACTCAATGCCCCACAGCTGGATACTGGAATGCCTAGAATTGTACAAGATCAATGGGACCCTAAGAGCCTTCATCAGGAACTCAATGGGGATGTGGCGTACAACACTAGAGGCCAACTCCAAGCCCATAGCACAAGTTACCATCAAGTGCGGGATCTACCAAGGAGATGCTCTGTCCCCACTGCTGTTCTGCATAGGCCTGAACCCCCTCAGTGAGATCATTAACAAGACTGGCTACGGATACCGACTACGGAACGGAGCAGTTGTCAGCCACCTCCTGTACATGGATGACATCAAGCTGTATGCCAAGAGTGAACGAGACATCGATTCACTGATCCACACTACCAGGCTATACAGCAATGACATTGGAATGTCGTTCGGACTGGAGAAGTGTAGTCGGATGGTAACAAAGAGAGGGAAGGTAGTCAGAACTAAGGGGATTGAACTACCAGAAGGCAACATTGCAGACATAGAGGACAGTTACAAGTACCTGGGGATCCCGCAGGCAAATGGGAACCATGAAGAGGCCGCTAGAAAGGCTGCAACCACCAAGTACCTGCAGAGGGTCAGGCAAGTCCTGAGGAGTCAGCTGAATGGTAAGAACAAGATCCGGGCCATCAACACATACGCCCTGCCCGTGATCAGATACCCTGCTGGGGTAATAAGCTGGCCAAAGGAGGAGATAGAAACCACTGACATAAAGACAAGAAAGCTCCTTCCCATGCATGGAGGGTTTCACCCCAAGTCCAGCACCCTGAGGCTGTACGCTAAGCGGAAGGAAGGGGGCCGGGGACTGGTGAGTGTCAGCACCACAGTCCAGGATGAGACAACGAACATCCAAGAATACATTGGGAAGATGGCCCCAACTGACCGAGTGCTCAGTGAATACCTCAGGCAGCAGAAACCCAAGAAAGAGGAGGGAGACGAGGAACCATCATGGAAGGACAGGCCCCTGCACGGTATGTACCACCGGCAGATAGAGGAGGTGGCTGATATCCAGAAATCCTACCAGTGGCTGGACAAAGCTGGACTGAAAGACAGCACAGAGGCACTAATCATGGCAGCACAAGAACAAGCTCTGAGCACAAGATCCATAGAGGCTGGGGTCTATCACACCAGGCAAGACCCCAGGTGCAGGCTGTGTAAAGATGCCCCAGAGACAATCCAGCACATAACAGCAGGGTGCAAGATGCTAGCAGGCAAGGCATACATGGAACGCCATAACCAAGTGGCCGGCATAGTGTACAGGAACATCTGTGCCGAGTATAACCTGGAAGTCCCGAGGTCAAAATGGGAGATGCCCCCAAGGGTGGTGGAGAATGACCGAGCTAAGATCCTGTGGGACTTCCAGATACAGACGGACAAAATGGTGGTGGCTAACCAACCGGACATAGTGGTGGTAGACAAACAGAAGAAGACGGCCGTAGTGATCGATGTAGCGGTTCCGAATGACAGCAATATCAGGAAGAAGGAACACGAGAAGCTGGAGAAATACCAAGGGCTCAGAGAAGAGCTCGAGAGGATGTGGAGGGTGAAGGTAACGGTGGTCCCCGTGGTAATCGGAGCACTAGGTGCGGTGACTCCCAAGCTAGGCGAGTGGCTCCAGCAGATCCCGGGAACAACATCGGAGATCTCTGTCCAGAAGAGCGCAGTCCTGGGAACAGCTAAGATACTGCGCAGGACCCTCAAGCTCCCAGGCCTCTGGTAGAGGACCCGAGCTTGAAGGATAAACCGCCCGCAGG